GTTACTATACTGGGGCATTAGGACCCACATAGACCGCAGGGTGAGCGCTCCCTACTGGCCCCTCACGCACCTTTTCCAGCAGCAAACGTTCCCAGGAGGTCTCCCCTACAGGTACTGACCAGGCTCACACTGCTGAGCTCCAGTGGGCTGCCAGTTGTGATACAGTTGCAATTTAAAAGTAAGAACAGAAGGTATTTTTTTTTACACAAAGTGGTGTGGGTATTGAGAACAGACTTGTTTAGCCATGTTGTTGAAGCTGATACCCTGGTTTCTCTTAAGAAATGGCTGAATGAGATCTGTGGATCAGTTGAGCACGCTGGCCATACTGGTCATGCCTGAGTTATTGTTAAGATTCTGCATAAGTAAATTCACATTCAATTAAAAAATACATTAATATAGTTTATGTAGCATGCGACATACTAAATGACACACCTTAGCTGAAAAATAGAAATTCATATGTGTCAACTCAATTTTAGTAATGTGTGCAAGAAGCAAGTAAAGGTTAATTCCCTGCTGGAAAGAGAGGAAAGAAACGCAACATTTCGGCTGTGGAGCCTTCTTCGGGTGTAAAGGAAGAAGCACTTACTTCTGAAACAGGCACGTCTTCATTCAGCTGCACTGAGTGGGAGGACAGTAGCCCAATAACACGGATTACCTTGGCACGCCTAAAACACAAACGCACCAGCAAGGTGTTCTTTTTATCAGCATTATAATTGGTTTGATTATAGTGTAGTACACTGAAACTTCATTTGAGAGGTCACTCTTATCGTCATATTAGGACTCAAATGTGTTGAGGAGGAAATAATTTTTATAAGCTTAAGTTCCAAAATCAAACACGATACTCTCCATTTCTGGAATCAAACGAACCACTATTATTGCACACAGAGCTTCACAACTGTGACGGTTAAAGTACTTTTCGTGCACCTGAACTAATTTAGGGGTTCCTTAGCAAAGGGGCTGAATACTCAGTCAATTAAAATATTTTATTCTTATTTCCCATTGTGACCAAAAATATCCACCCTAAAAGAGGTCTTACATTAGTTGGTATTCAACAGCATGGGGTCATTATTGTAGGGTTGTGAATGCTTACGTAAGGCATTAAACAAAACACTTCGTATTTGAACACCTCAGTCACAATTGGACATGCTTTAATATACAGTAAATTCACAAGCATTAGCTTTCTGAAAGAAGTAGCAAGCAATATCTCACACATGAAAATGTGCATTAGGTACGGCAAACACAGACAACTAACTATAAAGACTGCTTAAAATCGCCAACTCTTAGGCAAAGGGGAAATTAAATGTAACACAAATTCGCACAAATTCGATGCGGTTTCTTCATTTCCAAAATAAAAAAATGCAGCTTTATCTTACAATTAACTGCATTCTCCTTCTTAACGAAGTATGTGCCGCAGTGTCAGCAGAGGGCACTGCAGAGAGCACACCTGCCATGCATTCCTGCCAGAAACAGTTGCTGGGAATTCAGAAAGCAGACGCTTGTGGTTTAACAAATGGAATCCAGTAATACTCACACATCCCAGTTAGGAGCTGTGCGCAGCTGCTGGTTTAACAATGGGAACTGTTGAAGGAAAAGAAAAACATCAGAAAGGCAAACGACATGCCCAAACCTGATATGCTGATGCAATACTGAACAAATTTATTTTGATTTAACTAAATCGATAACTAACGATGTTTTTGTCCGCGTCATGTATACGCCATCTGGTGGTCGAAACGTGCAATTCCAGTCTAGCAGGAAGGCGGCGTGCGACTCAGAGGTGTACAGCAGCCCAGCAGGCATAAGGTCACGGCAGGTCTCACTAACGTCATACTTTCATTGAAAGGACTCAAAAAGAGAAGACTTAGGAAAAGGAGCTGTATAGTGGCACGAGGGCCTGTAGAGTCAGTTTGGAGGGTGAGCTTCTGATGAGTCTTTTCCCAGATAAACGCTTGTTTCTCTGTCTGAGTGGATGTCAGCGGTAGTGACTTAATGTATTAAAAATGTATGTAGTGTACTTTGCAGTCTGTAAATATTAGGCTGGGTGTTGTTTCCAGCTTTAAATACCAGCATTTCAACACACTGTCTATTTATTCTTCAAACATGAAATTATTCACAGAAAAATAAAGGCGGCACATGGTGTCACTCAGATGTTTTATCACCGTTGCTGTGAGCCAAGGCATTAGGAAACAACTGGTGATTGCAAATTCGGGTGGGTATGGAACAAAATTTAATCAGGATTCCAAACATAAAAAATGTATAAAAACTCCAGCTTCTGGCATCCATCCAAACTGCTATTGTTTTACTTCCTCCGGATATGGAATTAAAACATCTACATAGCTTTTCTCCTTCCTACGATTTGGGGTGTTCAAGAAAAGCTGCAAACAAAAGGACTTCACAAAATGTAAATGAAACTCGTCTTAATTAAGGAAAACGAATGAGCCTGATTCAGCTGTTTAAAGACCACATTTTGCCCCCCAGACTGTGGCTTCATTGGATATAGCCGGTAATTCCAGACATGCGCTTTCCTTAATTAGATGCAAGAGTCAACAGGGCACAATGTCGCTGATAGCTACTGCAATGCATGGTATTCAGAGCATGTAATTGGCCCTGGGCTGATGCACTTACCAGCTGAGAGTTTAGTAACCTCGTGGCTACTTCCTTATGACCAGACACAGTACAAAGATAGCAGAGCAGGTTCAGTTTGGTCCGGGGAGCTCCAGCGTTCCTATCGCCAGATTCCAGAGACGAGGACAGCTGTTGCAGGAAGCTGCCCCACTCCTTATCACTCAGAGACGCCAGCTTCTCGGCTGCAATCAGCAGAGGAACAAGGTCATGAAATTCCCTCATGCAAGGCTCTGGGCAAGTGTGCATTCCTCCTCACAGTGCAAGACCAAAACCCAAAAACGGCTGGTTTTCATGCACATACAGTATCATAGTGAGATATGCTTGGAAATACTGGATAAGCCAGTCAATGTCCTCTACAATACGCCGAGGCAGTCTATGAAAACGTTTTTCGTAACAGAATTTAATTCTATTCCATTTATTCTTCCCTAGATTACTACTGTATATAGCTGGCCACTTTAAATTCTGATGAAACCAGCTCAAAACGTTCAGCATCAGAGGGAGAGGCTAGTGTGTGGACGGGCCCCTCTGGAACAAAACAATGTGGCAAGCTTGTCAGATTCCTGTTGAAATCAGCCAAGGACACAGACATTCTATTCAAGCTACTGAAGGCGAACACAATCTCTTTTGTGAGGGTGGAAATTTAGCCTTAAGTTTCAATTCATAAAGCCAAGGATAATCAAAGAAAACAGCACAGAAAAGCACAAAGGACAGCAGGACATGAAAACAACAAGGAAAAAGTACCAGGAAAAAACACTACAACAAACATTACAAAAACTAACCCTTTAACAGCAGTGAACTAATTATTAACAAAATGTAACTTTAACGCACTCTTCCATAAAAAATAAATGTAAATGTTTTTTTTTAGAAACAGGTCCTAAGTTCTCCTGGAATGAGTGAATGAGGTTCACACTTTCACACTGGAATTCTGTGTCCTTCATTAATTACTTTCTTGTTCCTTCTGCATTTTGTTCATCTTAGCCAACTCTGAATGGAAGTAATAAATAAATATGAACCTTTGTAGAGCAGTTACAAAAAAAAATTGGGCCTGGAATAAATCAAAAACTTCAACTTAACACAACCAATTGCAAACCCGGTAATAAATGGAGATCTGTGCTTAGCAGAAGAATCCTGCTCTGTCCTGCTCTGCCTCCATGAACTCTGCAAATGCAGGTTGTGTCAAAGTTTACTTTGCACCTGACTTCCATTTTACCACACACAGATGCTCAATCGGTTCACCTGAATAAGCATGGACACTCAACGTCTTCGCGTCAAACCTCACAGGAACTGGTTTCAATATCTGTAAAACAACGCCGGTGACATCAGGAATGTACTTTTTTAGTAAATTAGGTAAATGACATCAGATCCTTTAACATTGTCAAGTCTGGCATGTTCATTTTAGTAAACGTTCACTGTTTCTAATTACACAAATACTGATAAATACAAACATTTGAATAAGAATTCCATAATTTTAAATATAAAATAATTACTTAGCAATTACTTTTACACTGATTTCATAATGAGTCATTTCAATTTTACAGTACATATACTAACCAGAAAAAAAAGTATTAGATTCTGTTAACAATGTCTAAATAAACTAGTAATCCATACCTTAGGATTGTCAATGATTGGAGTCACAACAAGGTCAGAGTCAGTATATATTAACTCCTTAATTCTGGAATTAAGATCATTCAAGTTGGTATCAGACACACTATTCTGTAAGTGAGAAAAATGTTTGTATGAGATGGAAAGATATCATTGATGTTACAGACACAAAATAAAAAATACCCAAGACACTGCTTTCAAACTGAACTGTTAAAAATGTAAAAGGCCAAATCTGGAAACATTCCAAAGTCTTATCATTTGTTTAAATGTTGTAGAAGGGATCCTACAATACAAAACAAACTGAAAATGAGAGGATATCTTTTTCACATATTTCCATCAAATGTTGCCAGAAAGACAACATTTTGAGCAGATTCTTTACACAAAAATTAATGTCAGATATATCAATCCATGAACACCAATAAACAGTACCATCAACATATTATAAGATGTCATTTAAATGTTCAAAAACATTGGTCAAAACAATCATTTTACTACCTTTTTCAATAATTCCAAATCTCTAATAATCACCCACTAAACTTTTCTAAAATGTCTTATACTTTACAGTGAAATTGCATAAACACTACACTTCTCAAGAGCTTCCAGTAATGCCATTTATTTATTAAATCATTCAAACACGTTAAAATTAAGTGCAAGTACACTTCCAGCACAAATCCTTTAATACAGTCCAAGTGCAGTTCCCCATAGGTGCAGCAGAGGTCGCTAGCCTTTCAGCAGCAACATCCACTGTCGGAGTCCAGGTGATCTCCGTGTAGAAAGTACACTAACCTGCAATTTGGTTGCCTTCTGCACAGAATCTTCCACTGCAATGCTTGTTCTTGGTGTTGGACGTGAACTGTTCAATTAAAACACCACATACAGTACATGCATGGGTTTTGAAAAAAATATATTGATTAGCTTTTTGTAGCACAGAGGTATGTGACAAAGACAAGAAACAAGCACTTCATATAGTCTTCAGGGAAGTTGGTTTTACACTTTGGTTTCACAAGAAAACAAAATATCTATTAATTTTTCCAGATCTAAAGAAATATTCCCTTGACTGACTTCAAATATTTCAATGGGTCAGGTCAAGTACCGAGCACCAATCCAGCAAGTTTTGCATGTCACCATTAAATCCTTAGCTTTCAAAAACAATGTCTTTACGATCATTGAAGGTTTTTAGTTGTCACACTCAACTATTGCCAGTTCCAGAAAAAAGAAAACAATCAGAAGAAGTGCATCTATTTACATCAGGTTTCCATTAATGTATTATTTATATTGCTTAAATAATATAAATAGAAAAAATTTCAGAAAGCTACTCAACAAAAATCAACATATCACACATGTAGAGTAGATTTTGTTTTAATATCACCTTCTGGGTGATAAAAACCGAAGGAAGATAAGAATTCACTCTTCATACCTGAGAAGAAAAATGGATTCACTGGCATCTCTGTCAAGACCACTCTTTGGTCTGAATTCAGCCATATTATCTGTAAGATTAACAGTAATTAGAAAACTCATCAATTTACAGAAGTTAGCACATAAATTGATCATATTGAAGTTTTTAATATTAGATCATCATAGCAGTTTAAAAATCCTGACTGTACACAAACACTGAGAAGAGGGGTTTACAGCCCCAGAGAAACAAGAACAGATTCTTTTCACACCAATGAGTCTTTACAAATCTACTTCTTAGAATGTAAGGGGCATGCAAAAAACAAACCACAGCAATTAAAAATGTGTAAAACACAATACATAATAGACACAAAGTTTACTAAAACCCTATAGCTCGAATTTCTGTAAAGAGGTTTTGGCTGTGAAAATCATTAAACATTATCATAGTTGCTTTCTGTTTTGTTAGTATTTATTGTACTTGCTTTACTACGCACAGCAAGTCAGAATTTTACAGGTCCCTCCAAACTTGTCTGAAATACACACCGCTCACAAAAGGAAGGAAACTTGACGCACTGAGAAGCTGAAGGAGATCCATCCATTCATTTACCAACCAGGGAGTCGGAGCCTGTCCCAGCAAGCAACACAATGCGGGATACACACACTGGACAGGACGCCAGTACATCATACTGCACACACTCACACAAACACACACACGCACACCAGGGTCAACTAGCCTCCCAGAAGCTAATCCTACCAGTGTCCTACCAGTATGCGTCTGGACTGTGGGAGGAAACCGGAGCACTCAGAGAAAACCCACAGGAAGAACATACAACCTCCATGCAGACAGCACCCCAGGTCTGGAACTGAACCCAGGACCCCAGTGCTGACCACTGCACTGCTACACCACTATGCTTGAGGTAGGTAATATTCTTCGCTATTCTACACTGTAATTCCTAGATTCAACGATGCCTGTGCATCTACGGACAAATAACTATTTTTGTAATTCAGTACATTTGTGTTTCCTAACCAGGAAGGCGCACTAAACATGGCAGGTGTCGACCAAGTTGATTAAGTGATCAAGTGCCCCTTGGATCTTGAGCAAATGTAATCTTAGGAGATCATTGGAGAAAAGCATCTACCTGATGTATGAATGTAAAGGTAAGTTTGATTTTAGACTCTTAGTGGTGTTAATTCTTATGACTCAGGAGTGCTCAGATTGATAGGGGATCAAAAATAAAAGACTAAGATACTAAGAATATACGGATATACTGTACATGTGGGCTTCTAGATGAGAGGTACACAACTCATGAGCAAGCAGCAGAACGGCTTAACCACATCACTCCAGCTGGCCTCGACAGTTCTTTCTTCTGGACAGAAACACGCATCAGCTGAATCTGTGTGATCTCAGCTGCATTGTGATGTTGGTCTGAAAGACCCTCATCGGGTCTTGTGTGCTCCACTCAAGCTGAAAATTACAGTAGAGATCCACCACAAAAGAAGAATCGCCTCTCTATTCAGGGATGCAAAGAATTCAGCAATTACAGTCTAGAAGAACAAACAATATTGTTTTCTCCCCCAAGCTTTTCTGCACACAATGTCTCCAGACATATGAACTGCGCATGTTAAAGCCCTGGCCACTGCCTTCCCCAGAGCATTACCTAATGTGTAGGACTTGTTTAACAGCTGGCTGCTGTCCAGGCCTACTCTTGATCCCTGTAAAGGGACATCAGCAGGGCTCTCAGGTAACACTCTGCAGGGGAGAAAGCTTCCACTGCCTTCTGTGGTGCTGCTGTAAAAATATCAGAAGCAATATCAAAAAGCACAAACAGTTTTCGATGTTGTTTATAATCAAGGCATAGCTCAAACTGTAATGATACCATATGGGGTATAATGGCAATCTAAAACTAGTCTACAGTAAGTTCAGAAATTTTTAAAAATTATCACTGATTTAAATCCATTGTTAAATCAAGGTTACGTACTTTCATTTAAGCTAAGAACAAATACAGGAAAATGAATGAAGAGTAGAAAATGAAGACAAGTTGTACAGGAAGCCTGTATCAGGGGAAAAAAAGGATTTCTCAGAAATACCAAGCAAAGAGCAGAAGAAACAAGTTGGTGTATAAACTGAGCATAATGCATGATTCATGAAAAATATTTGGGCTCTGCAGTCTCAACTTCACAAATGTAAGCTGAACATTTTTTTAAATTTTGAAGTGGTTTTATGATGTACTGTACATTAACGTAAGCCTTTTTGTGATCTTGTCTTTTGTCAGAACTCTTGATTATTTGCAAAGGAGCATTAAATGTATTTTAGGCAACAGCTGAGACTACCAGTTGTCATGGTATGTTGTGAAGCAGAAGAAAAGAATTCCCAAGTCAGGAGAATTTTTGCCAAGAAACAAATTCTCTCCCAATTACAATGCTCTCTGTTCCCACAACTCAGAATACTGAGTACAACCAGTACAAAATCCAACCACCTCTGTATCGCATAAGAGACCGCGCTTGTTTACAGCACTGTCAGTGAGCACACAGTCTCTACTGCTGCAAACCCAAGAAGGAAAGCCACATGTCAGCACACAGGTGGGATGTGAGATTTCTTTCTGTTTTTACAGGGCTGTTCCTATTACAGTTTCTATAATGTGCAAGCTTAAGAAGTAAAAAGTGCATAAAACATGCAGCATGTTAGGTGTTATACATTGTAAGAAAATAAGAGATCACAAATAAAAGGCCATTAAGACCATCTAATTCAGCTGGCAGATTCCATTAGCAAGACACCTGAGGTGGGAATGATTCCCAGTAAGTGCTGGCCTGCACATGTAGAAGATATAAAGGTCAACAAAGCATTGTGGCAGTTTTTCTGCTGTCACAGGATTAACAGACTGTAAAATTGATGTTCTGGATACACACTTCAAAGTGAATGGTAGTTTGTGCTCTGTACATTAGAGATGTCATGGCATGTGCAGGACCTGATTAACAAAATTAAGAAAAATTGAGATTAATTTTACTAAATACACTAAATACATTGTTCACCCAAAAAAATCAGAGCTGCAAAGCTAAAAAGTTAACTAAAAAAATTTGAAAGTATGATGTGCCGTGTCAGAATTACACAGCAGGTTACGCGAGATTTAGTGTAGCATTTATAATAAAAAAAAAACATTTAAAAACGTTCAACAACAAAAAACTGAGCACCCATCTCATCTGAAATGTGAACAATGCTGAGGATATGAAACTACCTTGAGCAAAGGGATGGATCTTGCACAGAACTGTCTTGGCCCCTGATAAAAGCTCCTTTCCAGAACGGGTGTTTCAGCAAATCTGACCAATTTAGCCTGTTAAGAAAAAATAATTTAAATCAGACATCTTCTTAGGCTAAGATCACACATATTCATTCTTTTGTAAACCTTTTATGTTCTTAGAGGTTCCACTATTTAGATAGCATGTACTGGTTCTGTATACTTGTGCACACTGTTAAAGTACATTTAAGCAACTGAATGCAAATCAGCCATTTCAGACCTGTAGCAGACTAAGGGATTGAAGGAAGATACTCACCTTTTACTGGGATCTTTCTGAAGCAAACCATCTAACAGACTCTGAAACTCGCGGGTAGGTTTGGGGAGGGTCACACCTTAACACAAGCAATTGTTTACATTTAACTGCACAGAATTCGTGTTTAAGCAGCTCAGAGAGATCCGATAACATTCCAGTGCTTTCTTACTTTGTAACCCACATCTCATATTGTAAGGATTTTACTGTTAATGTCAACATAGAACTGCTGGTTCAGCAGGGTTATTATTGTCTAGTGCTTTGTGATCCACGGTTATAATGGCATGTGAAATAAAAGAACATTGTACTGTCCTACATTTTGCACTAGAGCTATAATTTAGCCTTTTTAAGAAAACTCCCAACATCTTATTTTACCATGTCTACAAAACTGTCAGCTGATTTCACAGCAAACCATTCTGTAAAAGGTTAATGACTCAGGATCTCATATGAAACCTGTTATTCAATAAGACGGACGGAAAACTCTGTTACAGAGCAATCTGCAGCCTACTCAATGGTGAGATTTAAGGAGGAAGACTTTTTAAACAGTAATTAGATATTCAGATGTAACGCTCCTTACCCTTTGTTCGAAGGGGTGGTGGATCTTCATGTAAAATCAGCTCAACCAGCTCTGAAAAGCTTTCAGACAAGAACGGAGGCTTTCCTGCAACAAAAAAGGTTGCAAGAACAAGTTCATTTTGATACATATTTCCAGGCTGAATGCCCATCATGCTGGAGACCAGGGGACTCGGTGTCTTCTGCCTCTTTTTCCACCCACATTCACACTTCTACAGTTGGTCTAATTATTTAATTAGCTGCATAACTGCAACACTTCTAAAACGATAAGGGTAACTGTTTAATTTTACCACCCTTTTCTGAAAAAGCAGAAGACACATTCCATGTTCGTTCCAGCGAACGAAACCGCTGCCTGAGAGTTATACGAATTTGTGTTGAAGTACATCTGTATGTATTATTGTCTTGTACTACATATCAGAAAAGCAAAATAGGAATAGCTAACCTGAAAACATCTCATAAAATATGCACCCCAAGGCCCAGAAATCACTAGCAATGCCTGAATCTCCGCCCTTCACAACTTCTGGAGCTGCATACATTGGAGATCCTACAATGAACAAGCACACAGGCGTCAAATATCAGGAATGCAACAGGGTACTGGGATGGGATTCAGGAATACAGGCAAGATGGTTTAAAAACAGGTGAAAAGGCTCTTGTACTACGCATATTTATTTCACAAAAGGCAGCACTTCTGCATCGTGTAAAGCCTCCTGAAGCTTACCTGGGACAAGTTTTCACACATTTTTCTGGAAAACTATGTTCAAATTTGCTTGACAAGCATTATAAAGAACATTACACATAACCTTGAATTCTGTTCTTGATGTTTCTTCTTGGTGTGCTTTCTCCACCATCTCCACCACCTTCCTCAGACACAACTAAAGCAAAGAACTCCTCAAGGTTTTCTCCTTCTGCTTTAGACAAGTAGAAATTAGAATACTTCAGCGTTCCCGGTCCATCCAACAGTATCTGCAGGAAATGGTATACTGGTTAAATTAATTTTCTTACCTACATTTTAAGTTTACATCTTCAAGATTCAGCTCAAATTCTTAATTTTATTTTTACTAGAACATTTATACAAATATAAGTGCAGCACAATTTTGTCATCAATGGTAGAAATTTACATTCAAGACTACAGCCTAATGCAGATTAATGTTATGTAGAAACATTAATTTTTTGCACATATTAAGTTTGCTTACAAATACCAAGAACGTCTTAAACAAAAATCTCACCGTGTCATTGAATTTACTTCCAACATATTTAGTTCCCTGATGTACTGCTTGGTCAACAAATATGGGTTTTAATTTTAATTGTCTAACTTTCTGAAGACAATCACAATTTAGGCAAACAAGTACACTCTGCAGTAAAGAATAACAGTCTGTAAAATGTATGGTGATGTACGTACAAAAAAATCTTGTTGCCTCTTGGAGAAGTCCATGGTACTTTAAACACCATGTCTGCTATGGTGCATTTAAGTGTTGAAGCACAATTAACACAGGACAAAAAAATCACCTGAGGCTCTGAATTTTATACCAAGATGGATTAAATTTATATGACCTGAATCATATAGGATAATATATTAATAAATTATCATATATGAATAAGTCTGACTACTGAAAAATACAATCACCGATATGGAAAAGGCTAGCCTAAAAATGCTAAAAAGCCTTTATATGTGAAAAAGAAGGAATAAGAAGTCGTCTTCTCCAGTAGCATTGCGATTGGACAAAAGGGTAATTAATATTCATACCAAGAATCCACTGCAGCTATTGCTCTTACCCTATCCTTCTGATCACACCCTATCTAAAAGAGTGTTCATTCTAATTATTACTGAATTATTTGGCAGATGTTCTATCCGAAGCAACATACATTTGCACTCATACAACCGGGCATTATACTGGAATACTTTGGCCAAAATCTACAACTTTTCAGTTATTCATTTTTCTGATACTTGGGTACCCTACCCATATGACAAATAGCAAAAAGGAGGCAGGGGGCAATTTAAAAAAATTGACAATCAGAGTGATGAAGAATAAGGGTGAAAAAGTTAAAAGGCCGATGAGCTAACCAGAAATGAACAGGCAGTGAAATCATCTTGATAAGTCTTACTGATACCTTTGCAGGGGTGATGTCACAGAAGACGATGCCAAGCTCATGGATGTGTTTCAGGCCTTTCACTAAATCGATCCCAAACTCCCACACAACATCTTCTTCCAGACATTCATCCTGACTAATCACTGCTTCTAAGGATCCCCCTGGAACAGAGCAAAGGTAGTGAAAAATATTAACTCCTATAAAAGAGAAGAGACAATCTTAAAGCAATACATTAGGTTCACAAAACCTCACTGGCTATAAAACCGTTTTATTCAATGAAATAAAAACTGAACAGCCCCTCGGGGATGAATAAAGTATTTGGAATTTAATTGGAGTTTTAATCTAACAGCTATTAAAATTGCATAGGAAAGGTCACAGACGATCAGCCAATCAGCCCATCCAGCTCATTGGGTTTTTAGTAACTTATTGATCACAGGATCTCATCCAGCTGTTTCTTGGAGGAAGCCAGGGTATTCAGTTTTAAATCCAATTCCAAATTCCACCAGTGTATGCTGATTCATGTTTCTCTGCTTACTCTTGAAGAAGTCCACTGCTTCCGAAGATTTCGGATTGAGCACTGACTGCTCCCCTTGCCTGCTCCCTCGCGTTCCCGAATTGGGAGAAGCGGCTAGAAAACAGGTGGCCGGAACTCACTGCACCCAAACGTCTCCCTCCCTCACTCCAAAAGTGTCAACAAGTGGAAAACGCCTTCCTGAACCGAAAACTGCAGGTTCACAGGCACTCACCTGTACACAGCTCAACCACAAGCCAGAGGTGGTTGCTGGTTTCGTACCACTCATGAAAGGAAACTACATTTTCATGCTTTATGTCATGGGTAAGACGTACCTATGGACATAAAATAACACAGAACACAAACGTTAAAATACAAATATTCTTCATACTAATTCCCAACTCCTAAATACTCTGTTTTAAGTGTTGAAAAATTGAGCACTAAAGACCCTTTATACTATATTATACTATATAATGAAGGAATCTGTTATATATTGAGAAAATCACACTTGTAAAGTCAATGAGTGAGAAAGGCTGTGAATCACATTCATGTACAGAGGCATGCATGTCTGAAAGTATCAAACAGCAATACTACTAATTTGTGATAGATTCCAATTTGAGCTTTTTCACCACAGCCAAGCATGCAGACAGACTTTTAGAAAGGACTTTTTTAAATAAGAAAGTACGATAAAAAATATTAAATATGTGCTCTGTTGTACACACCACTCTTTGCCTGCAACAACGAGGTCTAGCTCATGAACTGATGTTCTATATGTTCTGTCAATAAAACATGACTTTATATTGCATCCAATAAGTTGAAACATCAGACAGAAAAGAGAAAAGTATTAAGAAACTATTAAACTTATGTGGGAGGTCCCTGTGTGTCACCTACACAGCACATTAGAAAAGCCTGGTTTCTAAATAATTATTATTAAAACTATTTGTCCCAACAAAGAAATTCTGCAACAACTACACCTGAAATACTGTTGACAAACATGGATGAATGTTTAGATTCTAACAGCCAAAATATTGTTTCTAGAATTGTTTCTGTTTTTAGAATGATCCTTTACTTGTTACTTAAACGTATACATACTGTACAGAAACAAACTGAATAAGCTCAAATTTATTTTTGAGTGTAATGATTCTGTTTTGTCTATTTTATTCAAGTAATACAGACAACATAATAAACGTAACTATTTTTAAACAAAAAAAAAACACAGGAACAAAAAGTAGGTTTCTAACACTAATTGGTGTACACCTCAAATAAATCTGTCCGACTTACTGTGAAAGAGAACTGGACCACTTATAAACCTTCAACGTACTGTATTGGTACACTATAAACTGAACTTCTAACTGGGAACATGAATGTGTATGAGTGATAATAAGGTTGTGAGTTAAAGTGGTACTGTATCTCCTGTGACAAAAGTCGCTGTTACAGTTTGTATCCTACCAATAATTTCATCTTTTATCATTAAATAAATCCATTTTCAACAAATGTGCCTCATTTTTGTGTCTGTTCTTCGCGTGTCTATGTTTTTGCTCAGTTACTCACGTGGTTAGTGATTTCAGCCCTCTTTGATTTGTCGCTGCAAATGATGGCAACAAAATTAATGCTTCCCTTCCTCCTCCCCTTGTACACAACAGACTTGCTTCCTCGTCCAATTTCTTCGTAAAGAATGAAATTTTCCATCCCTGGGAACGGGAGTACACGTTTACAGTTACTAATATACTGTACAGTACATGTTGTTACTGGAGTACAGACATAGCGCATTCAGATACGGAAAACCAATAAATTATGATACAACAGCTGGCAATAAATTAAAATATAATTTATGGTAGTGCATGGCACAGATTACTTTAGAATTACGTCGGAGTTCTTCACCCAAACACTTCATTTTCACCATGTGAGCCAAGTGACCCATAAACTAACTCCACTGCTGCACAAGATTAAAAATGCATGAGTATCAAATGCTTTCCGTTATGCATTCTGAGCCACGTCTTAGATTTGTCTCATCTTTGTCTTTTGTCCGTTTTCTTCCCAAACTTAAAAACATACCAGAACACCCGCAAAAACATTAACCCGAACCTCTTTAATTGCACGAAACATAGTGAGGAACATAATAAAACATTTAACTGACTCTATATAAAATTTATTAGGCCAGCCATCAATGTCTTCTCCCTAATATGCAAAATTCCACGTAGACAAAATAAATATTTTATGCAATGCTATTCCCTTATTTACTAACTACAGCAAAACAATATACTTTTTAAAAATCTCAGGGAATACGTCTTCATTATTGAATGACGATATTAGGCTTCACGACTTAGATGGAAAGTTCACTAGTATCATAGGAGGCATCTCCAAAACTGAACTATCTTCCAAAATTCAACTCATCGCAAACTCCGAATAAATTAGCATTAATAACGATGATGAAAAACAAACAAACCTCCTCCACGCACGACGTGGATACTCCCCCAAATAAAAAAAAATAAGGGCAATGCCAATATACAGAAAACCTGAAGTTAATGCTAGAAAACTGCACACTAGTCGATTATTTTCACTCCTTCAAACTGCACGCACTACCGGAAGCACCGTTGGAACAAACTACTGAATAACACTTGGGGTGACCCAAAAACCATTCATCCCCAAAACCTACAATACTTAAGGATAAGACAGAAAAGGTATACATGTTTAACTTCGGTGAAAATAGTATACGTATTTTTATAAATAAAAGAAATATTAAACATTATCTTTGTGATCTGTTCTCTATGTTTTAACTTTAGTACAACCCATTTCTGAGCCTTACCTCGGTCTCTAGGATACGGGCGAGGACGCCAAACATGACCAAAGCGTTGAAGAGCTCGTACTGTGCATCATCACTCGTCCTCTTCTGATTTATTTCCGTTGCTTCATTTCAAACCATAGAAATCTGGACGTTAGTATCGGAATCATACATTTAAGCATGATCTCTTTTGTTTGACATAAATGTAGTTTGTTTCTTGGATAGAGTTACATTCAGCCCTATGGAAATACTGTAGTAATTGATGAACGCGATGTACCTGGTACTTCAACATATAGTTTAATGCTTTTGGAAGTTATAAATAAATAAATACAGTATCTCTTGCATGCACTGATATATTTTCTGGGCCCATACGTAGGCAATACAGAGGCATCAACAATCTAGTTATGAGGTCTGTGTCTTTGTATCTACCGAACATACGTTGTAAATAAACGTTTATAATTCCAGGAAATGTTCATATTCACAATTCGACCCCTTTTTTGACGTGAGTAAGACCATTCATGGCAAAACTCACAGACAGGACCTTGTTATTAATCAACTTCTCCACGTACAAATTCTAATCAGACTATGAGGTTTTGCAACATCTGGCCTTATAACTCAAATTTGTTTTCAGAATCCACTCTAAGTTCTTCTGTCAGGGATCGTCAGCCGGTTAGTATTAAGGGCTCTTTGTTCTTCAGAATTCCACCATTGGCTTAGCACAAGAGCTAAAGAGTCTCAGATACACGTCGCTCCCCTTGGTGTATCTCATGTGAACGATGATACAAGCCTTCTTCTGTTCAATTGCATGCATGCCTTCAAGGGGAGGGAACCTGCCATCATATCATTGGAATTCCTTTTGGATCAGGAGAGGGGAAAAGTAACACTAGGTCCCCTTTATCCAAAATTCACCAACACCTGTAATCATATTTCTGAGCGATTTCAATTATTATTGTCATCACTACAATGACGACGATGGCGATGATGATAAAACACGTGGTGGGTTCTGCTCATGGAGTCCGAAATGCTCATGTGGCCTGCCCTCATTAGGAAGTTTAAGAAGTTGAGGTATGAGGTTTAGAAGCCTGTTAGTGGAAGAAGTGTTCAAATGAACACTCTACATGGTTTTATGTAGCTACAAAACCATGCCTTACTGTACCTGTTTCACATGGCTTGTACCTATGTTATGATTTGCTTTTTTTATCATATAACATTACAGGAATGCAGAAATGGGAAACAATCCAGATGTTTTAAAGCTCTCCCTTAAACTTAATCATCCACTTCTAAATAAACACAGCAATGGATGCCTATTACCGTAATGTTTTACATCATACAGGGCACATTTCACAATGGAGAGCTGAGTGGGCAGCCCGGGGTGTGGTGCACTTTTCTGCCATCTCCTGAAAGACGTTCTGTCTGCAGTAAGTCAGCACTTACAAGCAGGAACAAACGGATGACTCGGGGGCTGCGACAGACAGTATCAGCGTTGTTCTCTTCCGGTTTCTGTCAACAATGTAGGCACTGTAACTGCAGCACGAGTTCATCCAGTCGGCCCCCAAACAGAGAATCTCCAGCTGCCCAGCTTCTTACAAGTCTCAACACTCAGCACGAGTTTCACCAGCCCTGATTAGCACCAACTGTGGGCTTCTTCAAGGTAATTCTAAAACTGTGATGTGGGAGCTCTCAGGAGAATTGCCACTGCCACTCTATTCCTAACACCAGTGTCAAATGGCTTAGGACCAGTCCGTTTTCATCTTTATATTACCAAAGATCCTATTTGCCTTTTTTGCCCGGCAGTCCAGTTCTGGATTGAAATGCAGGGCAGGTTTGTGATGTCTATGGTTTGGTTGTGAGATATATTGTAGAAGGACCGAAAGCCATATTAGGCCTCCTGGCTATAATTAGGTCTTATTGTAAATCTATGCCAAATACACGCCTTCAAGAAAAGGTCACGTTAGGACCAAAATACATCCTGCCTCATAATTAGTCCCAGTGCAAATGGAAATACTCTATTTGCTATTATTATAATATATTTTAATATTATAAGTTAAATGCAACTCTAACCCCAACAGAATCCTAATTTTACTCTGGACTACAATATTATAACTCAACCCCTGTGCTTCCTGTTGTCTAAAATTATGTTGGGTTGGTCACAAAACATACAGAGCAAGAGCTCCAATTTCACCTTAACAAAGTTAGGAGTGTATTTGCTTTTCTGAAAAGACAATTTTTGTGCTTTATACTCCATTTTGTAGATTGAAATTCAAGTTATTTTGCAGATTGCATTAAAACCAGGGTTGGAGAATTAGGTGGATTTAGGGTTAGGCTGGAAGCGTCATACATCCTGAGGTAAATCCGTGTGAAAATCGTTTTCCAAACGCTTAAATTAATGACAAGTCCAAGTTCATGTTTATTGTCATTATACTCATACACAGGTATATGGTATTTAGCTAGCTCTCAAAAGAAGTTTTGTGTAAGAAGTACAAAAAAACCAACAATACAATTGTATAAGAAAAGAAAGACAGAGACAACAGATAATGTGCAAAACAACATCGGATGTGCAAAATCATACATCAACAGAATGAAATAAAGGATGGAAAATAATGGGAGTGAGCTTCTTGACATGTGAGGTAGGGGTAGATTTCAAGGTGTGTTTTGATAAAGAGAGAAGGCACTGTGGGGGTTCAGATCGTAAGTAAAAGAGGCTGGGAGTTGAATAGTTTGATAGTGCGGGGGGTAAAAACTCTCTGAGTCTGGTAGTCCGATAATTTCACATAGTTTAGAATTGAGTAATCTTGTCCTTGCTTCACTGATTGGTCTGGAGTCGTAATTCACGTGTAAATACTTGATTCTCTCGGCCCGCTGGGTTCACGGGCAATGAAACTATTCTGAACGCTTCGCTTACAGTAAGTCATGAAATCTCACCTTCCCCCAGCCGTAACCTCGTCGCCACGGTCTTGTGAACTGGGACTGGAAGATGTTACCCCCCCCAAACTAGGCTGCACAAACAAAATAATAAACCCGGACGAGCCTTTTAAAATTCCGAGATGCACATCACGCCGGTTATCGGCCCCGCTGCTAAAAACAGAGGTGATCACCGCATTACTATGCTGATGATCTCTCTCCCCCCCACACCAGTTGTGCAGAAGAAGCGCAGTTGTTGCTGCCCGAGCCTGGCGGTCCAGCTGTAGAGAATGACGTCATGGGCAATGCAGGCAGAGGGACATGGCGATAGAAGCGTGCAGCGGTGTGGATGCCGGCTTCTGAGCGCTTGAAACACAGCTCGCCTCGGAAACATCAGCGAAACGCCTTTGTGACAGTGTGGCACTAGCCTACAGATCCCCCCTCCCCACGGCTTCGCGGGCTGCTCCGAGGAGGGCAAGAGAACCAACCCAAAAAGCAGCTGGTGGTTTTGAACTGAGGGGGGGAAGACCAAAGACCGAAACGCTCCCTCTGGTTTGCCCGTGTGTTAATGAACATTTGAATACTTCTGCTTCTGCAAGGGGACCTAGAAAACTCTCCTCCGCGGGGGAGCGGTAGCGGTGATCCGTTTTGAACAATCACGCCTGAAGAGTGGGGGGGATACGTGCCTTTTAAATATAGCTATTTCTGCACCGCAAGGGATGGTTTGAAACGTGGAAAAAAATGCTCGTTTTAGATTAGGACGCCAGGCTGCAGGAGAATTACACAATCCGGGAGCCCGTTTACCACTCGAAAGCCCTGTGCTCCAGATAGCGTTATCAAAGCACGGCGTCCAAAACAAAACAAAAAAAAAAACCTCGACAAATTAACAATAGAGGCCAGGTTTCAGCCGCGCTTGTCGGATTTGGATATCGCTTTTATTCTGGAGGATTGCACCGTCTCATCAGCATTCACTTTCGGTAAGTCGCTGATGCTCGTTACAACCACCCACCTTGTTGTTGTAGTGAAACGGGAAACGTCTGTGATGTGCTGAACAAATCTTGCATGAGATCAATGGACTGGAAATCGAATAAGGTCACCTTTAATGAAGCCCCCTTTTATGAACGTATTTACGAACGGGGGTGAGATGTAAATACATACATCTCTTTTTTTTATGTGTCCGGAGATGATTGCTGATTGGGGGCTTCCTTGATCTTTGCGTCACTGTTGCTGACATTCCCTGCTTTCACAGCGAGCACAGTTCTCCTGAACGATTCTTCAAATCCCCTCACTTTCTGTGCGGGATGCCATTTCAAAAGAGCCCCCTGCTTCTGGGGTAAGTCCAAACGGAAAGTAATGTCAGGTCACCAGAACAAGTTGCGGTGTGTAGCAAGCTCGCAGAAGAATTCGGCTATTATTTTAGTGTTTTGTGTTTGCTGTGATTTGTTTCTTTTTTAAAAAAAACATTTTTTTTAAAACAACAACGTTTTGTTTTGATTTCGCCTTTTCTTGTGCAGTAGGTAACCCTACATTTATTTTCGTTGTGTATGTGGTTCGTTTATGTGCACTTCCCGACTTGCAATTCATACATCTGATCACCAGGTGGTGATTTCTTTTTTTTTTTTAAACAATCTTTTGCTGTAGGACTGAGCAAGTATTTGTATCATTATTAAGAATAAATTACGGATGCAGGTTTACAAGAAGGATAGGGTATGTGTGTGTGTGTATATATCTAATCTAAGGTGCTTACAGTTTTCTTTTTAAACCCGTTTCTTACACTGCAATGGGACTGTTTCCATAACGGTGTTCAAAATGGAGCCAGACTGCATTCATACTGAATGTATTTGTTTTACGTGACACGCGATGGGGATACATTTCCTTCTGGACTGACAAGAAGCAGGAGAGCGTGGAATGATTGTAGCCTTTCATTCTCCTCCTGCCACTAACAACAGACCGTGATCAAATATCCAACATAACACCTTGTACTTCCATATGCATGGAGGACTACTGCCTTCCAACATTTCTAGAGTCCTAACTTGATAAATAAAACAGTCTGATCAGGAAGACGATACATTTACACCCCCTGATAAGCCTTTTATTGCTGTTAGCAAGGTTTCCGCCCGGTTCGGTCCAGTGGTTTCCACAGTCCGGAGCCGATGGGCCGCATGGCTCCGTGGTGGCGCCCCTGTGTGCGAGGGGCACCTGTGTGTGTCGGAGTCGGTGCCGGTCCTGTGTCTGCCTGACGTTTCTCCAGGCTCCACAGTCCCCTCCCGCCTCCCAGAGTCATGCTGGCGGGATAAATGACCCGCTGTACTGCATACTGTCCTCTCCCTGGTGAGAGAGAGCCGGGCACCTCGCTTCTCCACACCACCCGGGAGGAGTTGCCGTCTTCGGAATAGTGGGGGCACGTTTCTGGGGAAGAAGGCTGGTTTCCTGCCCGTGTGGAACTGTGGGTCATTCTCTGCTGGGGTCAACTCTGGACCTGGGGCTCTGTCCGCGTGGAGTTCGGATGTTCTCCTCCGGGGGCTCCGGTTTCCTTTCACAGCCCAAAGACTTCCGGGCAGTTCGGTTGGCCACTGGGAGAATTGGCCCCGATGCCTGTGTCTGTGGGTGCCCTGCAGTGGTCTGGCGTCCTGCCCAGGGTGTACCCCGTCTTGTGCCCACTGCTAGCCCCCGGGGACCCTGGATATAGTGGTCAGAAAATGGCCGGATGGCTTTGGGATCGCAGTGTGCGACTGGAGCGATACATGCTGAAAAACTGTCCTTCACAATGTACTGTGAAATCTGAGAAACGGTGAAACAGCTTTTTTTTTCTCTTGACCTTTCAGTGTTCTATGTCAAATAGGCTATGAGGCCGAAGACAATGTACATGTAGATGTTTGTACTTGGTACAGTTGTGGTGATGTGGTGGAAAAGAGCACTGTCTGAGGCCAAAACATGCCAGACTCTCAGATAAAGACTACAGTATATCTCGTAATCCGCCCACCTCGTGTTACTGAATCACCCGGGAAAAGAAGCATATTTCATTTCTCCCTGCGTGTGTTGTGTCTTATCATGTCTGCTGCTCCTGCATGTGTGAATCTGCTCAGTGTGCTGTATGTATGTGTCTCTATAGCAGTACCATGAGTAGACCTACAGGCTTCAGTTGCCTTTCCCTGTATTTAATCTGCCACATCATAATTCCATTGGTACGATCACAGCATTATTTCCTTAGATGTCTTCAATTCAGTTATCCTCCTAGTGGAAGAATCGATTCAGATTTTGTTTATTGATAGACTTTTTTAACAATTTATACTGTAGTGGAGCTGATTACTGTGAAAGACAGACATGGCTAATAGACTTGTTAACACAACTAGAGTGAAGACTTACTGTAGAGAGTAACCTCCACCTGCAGGTTTCAGATTTAAGACTCCATTAAGAATAAAACAAACACTTTGAGTGGCTGTTGCCCGGAGGTGTTTCCTGTTATTTCAATGGGAGTGTAGACTCATTTTTCCTACTGGGAAACTGCAGTGGGTTTATTTTTGTGATCAGTGAACTGGAATCTTATCCTTCTTTTAGGAAGTTTCTTTCACAGTACTGAGGGATAGAGGATACCCTGGGAGTATTCCTAACCCTGGACTTAATGCTTATTTAAGCACTAACCTGAGACTTAATGCTCACTCTTGTCTATACGTCTATCCTCAGTTTCACCTGAATAGATTTAAGCAGTTATGAATTTATATTTCTCATTTCAACTAACGGCTTAGACTAATGGTTTAAGTGCAGCTAATATGGGGATTTTCACTTCTGTTTAAATGGAGATATTATTTAACATTTAACAATTCTGTTTAACAAAGGCTCAAAATATAGGATAAGTGCTGTTTTAGATATACGCTGTTTGTTTTTTTTTGTACAATGGTGTTAGGGATAGAGTTACTGTGGTATTAATAATAGGCAGAAGTACAATCCCACTAAATCTCACTTGACCCTTTCTTAATTAGGAGATTGAAAACACAGAGGTTACCTAGTTGAAGTCAAAAAGCTGATGACCTTTCGAACACTTACCCTAATGCCTTGGATAGCAGTTACCAGATTTATAGTATACTGTACAGTATATTGCCATTTTTCACATTGAAATAATAACCTCCTGGACTAGAAAAAAAGGCACACCCTTTTGGTTGGTTATGAAAAATAGTTGCTGTTTTGTGTCAACCTGCCTGGTGCTTGTATTGTTATATTGTTTTGAAACACAAGGCCAACTGCACTTCAACCTACTGAGGATGAGTAGCGTCAGTTGCTTTTACATGCCTGTTCAGGAAACCACAGGAAACATACAGTAGGGCTGTTTCTCAAGCATGTACAAGTCTCACCCAGGATTTCCTTTTTTAGCTTGTTTTTGCTTTTTGTTTCAATTAAGGATCAGTTAAAACAAAAACAAAAAATGTTTAACTGCAGAATTCTAGAGGCTGTGGTGTTTTATCTGAAAACACAGAGTGCAATACCTGCTACGAGGGAGGCAAAACAGCACTGTAATGACATGACTTAGAGAAAGAAATGTTTAAGTCTGGTAATTATGACATGAGATTAGTTTTTTCTTTTGTTTTGCAATACCTCGCAGTACATTATTTGTGGTCTGTAACTGTAACTACTATGTAACAATCCTCATAAATGCCTGTAATTTAGTGGGGAAAAAAAGAACACAAAAATTGCCAACAGTTAGATCTGGCCTGATTCAAGTTGTATGGGTTGTTTGCAAAGGAATGCTGGGAGACCGCTATTATTGCCTTCAGGATAGCCACTATCACTGTTCGAAGAACGAATCGCTTTTATCGCTTTTATCAAAGCTCCGGAAGTTTGTAAGGTGTTGCACGTGGAGAGGGGTTCAGATTGTTTACTTTGTGATGTTGGCGAATTTTGGAACAGAACGGGTGCCATTATTCTAATAATCCGAGAAGATGTCTGACAGAACTATAAGAGTTTTCTGTACAAGGCTGATTGCAATCCTTGGATCAAAAAATGAAGCTAGATGGGTTGAATGGCCTCCACTCGCCTTGCTTCGCGTCATGGTAACCAGTACGCTGCAGCTGGTGACTACAGCAGCAGCACGCAGACAAATCCCAATCCAAAAACGTGATCGGATGCAATTCCGTGTTGAGACAGATTTTGAGATAGTATTATTCCCAGCCCTGGTCCTGGTAGAACCTGTCACTTCTGGGTTTTGCACCAGCTGAGTTCTTCATAGCAGTCTAATTGATTTCAGATTCGCATCTGGGGGATATTTTTACAATAAAAGATCCAAAGGGTTTGGAATTGGTTGGAGTTTGTGGGAAAGTTCTGAGCGTCCGCTCTTTCTGTGAGTGTGTTCTGCACCATGTTCGATCACCATCAACGCATGTCTTCTTGACAACCGGTCAGTCAGAAATAAGGATAAGCAGGATGAGGAGAGCTCTGTGTGCTGACATTTTTGGAATCGATGTGCACAAAGTAGAGAAGATTGAAAACAGAATGAAGTTAACTGGAAGTGTCAACAAGCTGCACTTGTTCCAGATTTCTTTATTTTTAAAAGTCACATAACCCTCAGCTTGAATTGTTTACAACGGGTCTTGATCACAAATCCAGCCCAAGTTTTATAACACAATATCAGTAGGGGTCTTTGAGAAATTTTAAACATCGGATGTTTCTCAAAATACATTCTCCTTGCAGAGTAGTGTATCCTGAACTCAGAGCTGGTCGGCTGTGTGCATATCCAAGGTGCACTGCTGTTTCACCCCTGAACAAAGGACTCGACTCGGATAGCTGCAGTAAAATACCCAGCTGTAAGACTCGCACTGAATAAAAGCGTCATTCAAATTAATATTAAAAGTAATGACAGGTCAGAGACTGAGCAGACAATGGGGAGAAAAAGCCGAGCAGGGGGATGGGAGAAACCATGTGACATCACGGTGAGTGTGCTCAGTTTCTCTCCAGCAAGCCGGCCTGTGTTCCAGTGGGGGAGGCA